TATATAAATATATATATATTTATATATACATACGTATATGCATATATCCACATTTGGACACAGCTAAGTTTCATTGTCAGTTCTTTTAATTTAGGAACAGCTGTCGAAGTTATCTTTCTAAAGAACTCACATTTATTCATTTCCAAGTGTAAGCGCAGATATTCTTGATAAATTTCTATTACAATATGTATGTATTATAGATAATACATACATATCTATGTATATGTACATACAAATATCTGGTCTAAGGTCACCTTCCATTTGTTAGTTACGTCGCATTATAATAAAACAAYAACAAAATTTCACCAGCTGTGATATCGTTTTTTTTTTTTTGCTTTATCTATCTGTAGAAGTCGAATATACTCGAATGTATATTTATTTACATATATACGATTTATATTATTGTGTGTATACTTACACACTTATGACAAGTATGGAAGTAATGAAATTTGTGAAATCTCGTGAAATGCAAAGGAAATGCTGGAAATGCTGGAAATGCTAAATACTGGATGATTCAAGCCCTCGGAACTCACGAATGCAAATATTTCTGCTTTATTTCTTCAACAATTTTGTTCTCTTCTTTTTTTCCTTTTTTTTTTTGTTTTTGTACTGTGGAATGTTGTTTAGATGATATTTATCTAAGTTATCTTGCGCGCAAAACCGAGTCACGTGTAGCAACAGCTATGAAAAGACTATGCCATCTAGCCGGCTGTTGGGGCTGGAATGCTATCAGAGATTTTCTATTTGTAAAGCAGTTTATAACTATGAAATTTATTAGGTTTATATAAACACATACGCTCTTTATAGGTACTAATAATACTATAGTACTTACAGCGAACAGAGACGGCAAGCAGTTTGCTTAGGCGTATTAGGGTAGGCTTTACTGGGGTCACTTACTACTTACTTGTATCAAATCATATAATACTATATATTCAATTACTATATGTATCAAATCATATAATACTATATATTTTATAAAATCATATCGCATTTCCTCCTTTAGAAACAACCCTCGAAAGAATGTATTTTTCTGCATAAAAAGCGTCTCTGTTTCGCCAGATATCATGGTCAAAGTCAGCTCCCATGCTATACATACATACATACATACATACATACATAAAATAAGGAAATGAAATGTAAAGAATTTTCTGATTTGTGGACATAACGAAATCGCGTTCGATGTACTTGTCGCGCGCCTTAGGCAAGTACACTGCGCGAAATTCAGATGTTGTCTGGCCTCTGGGCTAATATCAGGGCGGCGCTTAGTTGTTTATTTACAAGCAGCCCAAAATGATATTGTTATAGAATGCTGTTTTAGCCATTATCTGAAGTATCTCGAGAGCCTAACACCGCAGATAGCAAAGCGAGAGCCAGATTGAGAGTGAGAGTGAGATAGGTAGAGCTGAAGGGGCTGAGGCATTTGTATTTGTTACGACGACAATAGTTGCGAATATTTGCTTTGTTATTGTTTTGTGTGTGTGTGTGTGTGTTTTTTTTTTGTTTTCATTCTTCGTTTCTTTCTAAATGCCAAAGAAATGTTTGGCTAGTGAATTCCAATGCGTTATATCAGCAGCGCCACCTGCGGGCTGCAGAGGCACATCTATCAAGTGAATAGTGTGTGTACACACACACACACATACATATATATCTAAGATTGTTTTGTGCATTAAAATGCAATATTTAAGGCGCAATAATAATGCTCAATATGCTTATATAGAGAGAATTTTGTTCAGTTTTTTGCTTAACACGTGCGTCGACGCGTGTTTTGCCACAGTTGGCAGTCTTTCGTTTTGTTGCGTCAGCGTTTTTGTTGTCTCTTTCCTTTTATATATTATATATATTATGTTTATGTATGTATGTATATGTGTGCACATTAGTGCATCCGTTTGCCTTTTTCTTTGCTGTCCGCCTGCTGGCTATACTTGGGTAAAAGCAGCTCATTCAGCTGAAGGAACTAGTTCAGTGGCTCAATTCAGTTACATTTTGGCTCACTCATTCATGAGCTACCAAAGTCTACTGTTGGCCTCTCTGCCTGTTTCTACATAAACTACTTACAGTGACGAGCAAAACTGTAACACGAATTCAATGTTGCAACTTCAAGAGTCTGTATTTTTGCTTCTACTATATGGATGTTTAAGAT